GAAAAAAATCATGGTCAAGTAGTTAAAAATCACCTTATTTTGCGAATTAGCGCCCCTCAACTGATCATCGAACTCCCTCCCCCCAACCCATCAGCACCCCCATTTCAAGACTTCTAGATACGCCACTGTTAACAGTTTAGGTACAGTATTCGGCTGTGTTTATTATGAATAGGCCTAATATGTTTGATGACTCATAAAAGGCCTATAGAGTATTGTTAATGAGGATCGTTGAGTAAGCTGACTAGGCTTTTTTGATCTTGTATTTATTGAAGGCGAATATTAAATATTTTATCATGTATTTTTTACGTATGACCTATTTCTTTACGAAATATAGAACTTGAACATAAACGAGGGAAAGCGAGAGAGAACGAGGGAGATCCTGGTCAAATATCAGATCTTATATACATGAATATAAAGGAATTTTAAAATAACAGTGAAAATACATTTTACTGTTATCTTGGTTTTAATTACCGTATCTATCATCTAGAATACCGAGTTGGTCCCACCGTACGTGAATGTTGAATCGTTCACGTACGGTGGGACCAACCGTACGTGAATGTTGATTCGTTCAGTACGGTAGTTGTGTTTATGTATTGTAACATAATTTCACGCTCCTTGGATATAAATAAGAAACTCTTGTTTATGGAACGCCAACTAAAGCCGACTACAAATTTAAGCATTTATTATGCAAATAACGAGAACCTTTGCGAAACCCCAATCCTGCGTGAATAGTCCCTAAAACAAACATGTAATTGTAATAGATTTTGTGTATTATGAAAATTGGGCAATAATGCCGAAAAGAGTTCACTGTTGTTCGCTCGCTGGAGCGATAACCGGAATTGACATAATGGTTTTGTTTAAATATTTGCCCTGAATTTGATAGGCAATGGGTATACGTTCTCAGACGGTCTGGAGTAAACAAGACGTTCTGTATTTGCACTGTGAATCACACTTAAGCTAGCACTAGCAAGTAACCAGTGAATCACACTTAAGCTAGCACTAGCAAGTAACCAGAAGTTCCCACCGATTTGGCAACCCGGTTACCACAGTATTTTTTATAGGAAAGGCTAGCAGAATGACTGCAGATGGCCATCGCAGCCCCGTAACGACGGTCGTAAAGCTATTAATTTTGTTATCAACTGTTAATATTGTATATTCTACGTATCTGATTTCTGTCTCGGACGACCAGATGACAAACCAAAGTGAATCGGTAATTTTATCATGCAATGCTTACAACAACTTAACAGCACAGGAATTAACAGTTGCATGGAGAAGGTCTGGAATTGTGATCACAGAACGTAAGCTTGTAAACACAGAGAACCTTAAGCAGTTTATTAATGAGGACGAACTGTATAGGTATACAATTCAAGGGTTGCCGGTATCACTTGATGTGACAGACTTCAGATTGGGAATTAAAGATTTGAAGAAAGAGGACATTGGTAATTACGCATGCTCACTATGCAAACGATCTAGTTTCTCCTTCTCCTGTATAGAACCACTTCAGATAGAAGAAAATCTTCCAGTTTCACTAGATGTTATGTACACACCCACTGAAAAATACCCTGAATGTTCTATTCTAAAACAAACTTCTCTTGGATCGGAGATCACAGTCGAGTGCGTTAGTGAAAAGGGAAAGCCTCATGTGGATTTGAAATTGACTATCGACGGAGAGATTTTGCATAACCCGTTGGCGACGGAGTTACTATCGGAAGAAGACGGTGGCCTACTTAGAATCGCACATTCATTTACAGTGACAGAAAGCAATATCGGGAAGGAGATCGGTTGTAACTCAACAAGTCCATACTTCAAGGATTATACCGGTAGATGTGCAAATGGAATCATAATTGTTGAGGATATTCCAGATATTTCTCTGATATCCACACCAGCAGAATCTGTCTCTGTCAGAGAGCGTGTGTCATTTACTTACTCGACAGCAAATCTGGAGACAACGGAAACTAATCCAGGAGATTTAACTGAAGTAGGCCTACTGCATAATGCAGACGGGTCAAATACAGTTTTAATTGTTGGTATGATTTTAGCTGTCATGGTGTTGATTGTACTCGGCGGAATTGCAGGTTACTTACTATTCGTCCGACGAAAAACTAATAAAGGACACAAACCGGTTCCTCTAAATGAAACATCAACAACTATTATGGCAGATAACACTTGGAATGAAAGTAATACCGGTGATGAATTTCCGGATAAATGTAAGACAGCGACAGAGACTGCCTTTAACGGTTTTACTGTTTGTGAACAGGATAAGGATGTCAAATTACCTAAATTAACACCAGAAGTGCAAGAATACAGTCACGGAGACGGCAGTAATAATTTGGATGATGATGACGTTTTTATGAACGTAACACAAACACTTCCAATTCCAACCCATGTGTAGGAGAATTACCTTCACCAGATAAGAACATAGAGACCAAGGTTGTTATTTTTCCATTCTTCTGGAAGAAACCAGAGAAAACAAGAAGAAGCTTCTCAAGAAAAGGTGAATGGCGATTGTGATCATGTGGATTTTAATTCTTGTTACAGTTGATGTTGAAAGACATCGTAGGAAAGCCACCTCAAAGAGGTTAACAGAATGCCCCCAAGGAACTGGGCAATTTGCCTGAAGTATTTATGAAGTATACTCTTTATTTATCCCATTTACAATAAATACATAACTGATATACTTCATATGAATTGGGAATCCATAATAGGCCTATAATTAGTTACTGCGCTAACAGATTTCTTCATCAAACGCTCATTGTCCGTGGCTAACGAGTATGTGTATCGGCAAGCCAGCAAGTAAATATTTGGCCTAACGATGAATAATTTTAGGAGGCGAGGCTAAGAAATTATGATATTGACCGATGAAAGCACGCGTGTATATATTACTAACCAGGGTTTGAATTATGTTTGCTGTGTTGGCCTTTGGGAACTTGACTAAGCTAAGAAAACAATAGGTCGCCTTAAGCCTTACCTGAACTAGTAACCCACATTTTATATCTATTACATTCAGCAAAATTGTTTATCTTTTGTATATATGTCATTATTTATTTAAAGTTTCAACTCTGAGATTTCTTGTCACTTGAAGTGTTTGATGCCAAGATTTATACTGTATTTATATGAAATAAGAATTCAGTAAATGTTTTTGTTCTTGTTCTTGAATATATATAAGCTGTCTCTTATACACATCTAGATGTGTATAAGAGACAGATCAAATTCCTGTCCAGACTATCAAATTTGATTTGACAAATACATGTGACATGCCTAAGGCAGGTCCCTGAAGAGGTCATATTCCAGTATTCTCGGTCCTCTGCATCCCTCTTCAACTTGTAACTCCGATGTTGTTCAATACGTATGCTGTAAGTATGTATGAAGTTGTTCAATATGTATGTATGATGTTGTTCAATACGTATGCGCAAAATATTGCGCGGAAGACCAGTTGTTTTATTCGAATTAAGGTATCTGCATAGAGAGGGCACAAAGTCCAGGGTTGGAATGCCCTATATAGTTCAAAATGTATTATTAAGCCTATAGCATTGCTGCAAGACGGTTTAGAGTTTATTAAAATATTAGAACTGAGACATATCAATACAGTATACCGTAACTCGAATAAGCGCCGCACCAAACCTGATTTTTTTTTTCGCTAAGCGCCGTGGCGCTTAATCGAGAGTATATATTACCTTGTGTGTAATAAGATATTTTGAGAAGCAGGGTTTTTAAATATAATGCATACAGTGTTAAAATAAATAAATAAAACAATCAAGACAAGCATTTCTTTATAAACGTTATTTACGATGACGTAGGACGCTTAACAAAACAAAAGCGCATGTACCCAGGCTCGTACGCGGTGGGGGAGGGGGGAGTTGACCAATCAGAGCAGTTTTCAACTAGGACTAACTCTAATTCGTCGTACAAGGAACGACTTTTATCTGTATTTATAAGCTTTTTGACGAATTTTAGTGTTTCCGCCGCTTGCATGTCAATGTTTCACCGGGTACAAACTCACTTCTAGGTTTCACTAAAATCATCTTTATTCTCGCTCGGATATCATCTTGATACAACAGGCGCGGATTTAGACCTACGCACCGTTCGCAATATACCTTTCCGGAGTGTCAATCAAACTTAACAACTGACTAATCAGAACAGCGCTAGGAATACGCACGCGTCTCACAAACACACGTGTTGTCCCACAAACGCACGTGTTGGCGTATGCTTTAACACTGTCGTCTTGTGGGACCTTAGCACAATATCCAAGGGGCGGGGCTTAGTGGAAAGGTCCATTGCGAATGTCAGAGCAAGAAATATCACAGACCCTATATAGTACACAAAGAAACATCAGAAACAATACAGAAAAAGTATTGGTTGTCTAGACAAATATATCAGATTATTGTGCGATTATCAATGAGGCTCCATCCACTGGAAGGATGAAAGGATGTGATGATGACATTTCCCCTAATGTATCTGTGCTTCTAGACTGTGCTGCACTATTCCCAGTGGTGGTGGCCCTCCCCTCCCCCCACGTTTGTCAAAAACGTTTTTAAAAAAATAAAGAAATTTGTATTCAATTTTAAGTCACTTCCTGCCAACTAGGTGCCATAATCATAGATTTACTTACCTCAGCCCCAGCCATGGCTGGGGCTGAGGTGTTACACACCCTCAATCTGTAAATTATTTTAATAAGACCTCAAATTACCGACTTCGCCGGAGGCATTTCTACTCCCCCAGCCATTTCGGTCCACTCTCAAATTCGCCCCTACCCAATAAAAATCTTGCGCATGGGCCTGTTACAGTGCGGTGCTTTTTTAAAGCACTGGTTATTATTCGAGAAAAAGCGTATTAAATCGTGTTATAAAGGGAGAGTATCATGGATTAGATCTCAAGGACACAAAGGTATTTTAATAGTCCTCATTTTATAGTTTTCAGTTACAAAATACTGAGAAAGTAACAAAATTCAGTTAAAACATTAAATAGCTCATAAAAGGGTGAAATGTGTTAACTTAATGATACTCCATAGAAACAAATCCGATTACTAATTTATAATACAAATGTCATTAAAGTTTATCAATTGTTAAATTGGAGGGTGATTTTGTTCTCAATTTAAATTTCAAATAAAAATTGAAATATTTCACTGTTTAGTAGTTCACCAAACATAATATTCTTTACTTTCTGCTTCATGTGGTAAATAACACACATCACGCCCTCTATCAGTTTTATTCGAAATGTTTATGTTCCAATACAACTGATTTCATATTGTATATTATGGCGGTGGATAAGGATTACCTATGGCCTTCGCTGTGCCTAGCGCTATAAAGTGTTGTATCAGTATGTATGGTTCAGCTAATCGAATAATACGCATCAGACAACAGTAAACCAGTAGAGCATATCATTCAGCTCAGAGTTATTGTCTTTTTTCCAACCGAATAATTACACGATGGCTAGAATTAAGTTTTTTCAGTGATTCAGCAGTACATAGGCTATAACTCGGCAAAACATGTCGAACACTTCTGCCAATACGTAGTTGTGATACGACTAGCAGTATGGATCCCAGATTAAAACCAATAGTAATACTTGTACTATTCTTGGTGATAGCCTTTTGTCAATATGACCGTTGCTCAGCAGAATCATCCATACGTGTTGGGCCAGTATCGACATCTGCTTTCGAAACAAGCTTCGTACGTCTAAATTGTTTGGCATATATAGACATTGGATTCGAGGGAAAGATATTTTGGTTAAAAGATTCTGCGACGATAGCTGACGGTAACGAAATCGTAGATGGAACCGGCCTCGAAAATATTGAAATAAATTCGACGTTTGAGGGCCAGGATCTCTGGAGTGAATTGCTTATTACGGATGTCACAAGAAAGCATGATGGGAGGTACCTTTGTCAAGTACGTGTTTACATGGCTTCGAATCCAGAATTGATACTTTCGTCTCCCTCTTATGAGTGCACATTAAGAGTATTCTATTTACCAACGCCCGTTTGTCCTGATCAAGCGCCATCATTCCTATTGAATGAAAAAGTAAGCATATTGTGCCATTCTGATCCTGGAGAAAAAACAGCAACACTAGAATGGCTATTAAACGGGCAGGTTACTGCATACAAAATATTTTCAGAGTTAGAAACTATACATACGCTGAATTACACATTCGTAACGTCAGCAGCCCACAACCATAAAATATTTGAATGTAGAACCGCTAGTGAATCGTTCGTAATGCCAAATACCTGCGAATTTGGACCAATATATTTAAGTTTGAATATATCATTGAACCCTATATCCACCGCAGGAGATAGTATTCTAGTTGAATGCGCTACTAATGGAAATGGTGACATTGAATATACATTTTATCGGGATGACGTTCTTGCCACCAGTGGAGTTACTGGAAATCGTTTCCAAGTCATCGTAAATGAATACGACACAGTTATTACGTGCCAAGCAGTGGATTCAGATTTGATCTCTGGCTCTATTAACATAACATTGCCAGGTAGACGTATAACAGTTTCTTCAGACATGACATCTGAACCATCTATAAAATTTGCACCAACCGTAATGACTACGTCAGTGACTCTTCTAATGCCTGCGTTAGTGACACCGTCAATTACTACAGCATCATTAATTCCACCTCCTATGGAAGCTGTCAAAGGTAATAATGTAGGTGTTGCTATCGGTTCTAGTTGTGCAGCGATTGTCTTTGTAGTAAGCATTGTTACCATCGGTTGCCTGTTTGTAAGAAAAAAGCTTAAACACACACCCACGTCAGCTAATGATGACTTATTTCTCGAAGAAGCCTTTGGCAGAAAGAAGTCTTTAAACGTCAGTTTCCGTAAAATTCAGAAACGTCAAAGTAAACAGAACAACAATGAAGTAACAAATAATGAAGACGTAAATGACGGTTACGCAGTTCAGTTTCTTTCGGAGCGTGAAATCAAATCCTCGAGTGGCACGGGAGTCATGCCAGATGTTATTACGTCTGCCAATCAAAACAACTTGGCATACAGTAGCAGTGAGGAAAACCCTGTAAGTGCATTAGACCACGACGCTGTTGGTGAAAAAGGTTGTTCAGAAAATGGTGAAAGCAATAAAGAATATCTGTGTTTGGAATCCCACTCTGATCTGCAGACAAAGAATATTAATAATTCAAAAACGGAAGGCAAAGAACATAAGGTACATCCTGAAATGCCATTGAATGCCTCTACAGTTTCTTCGATGTTGGATTCTTTGATTAAAGACACAGACTCAGTCCAAGAGAGTGACAAACATCAGAAGTTATCCACAAAATCTCCATCTCGAAACCATCCACAGGAAAAAGTCATGCGTCCACTCCACAACGCTGGTAAACAAAATGACTCGAAGTCGGTTGTTCCTAAAGAACAGAACGTTGGTGTAGAAGAATCTGTTATGATGCAAGTAAATAACGACAAGAGAACGCATTCTCTTAATAAGAATTCTTCCAACCAAAAAATAAATACTAAGAAACATTCAAGGCACGCAGATACTGACCGTGGTACTCTTACACACTCCAGTGAACCTAATGATGACACCTTCGATGGGTCAAACTTCGACGATCCGCCAAAGGAAATACTTCCTTTCATCGGCAAAAATGCCCAGTTATATTCTGCTTCGATGGAAGCATACAAGAGACAATTAAACTCGAAGAAGAGAGTGGATTCAGTGCCTACGGCTGGACATACTTCCAAGCCTATAGATACTAATCCACATGTTAGGTCTGCCAGTGTGAATACAACGGCAGGTAAAATGACAGGAAAAGGCGTGGTGAATCCATCACATAAACGAACATCTCAAACCCATGAACGGCGATCTCATCGTGGTGAACAGAATGTTGTTTGGAATACAAGCGCCAAATCTAAAGCTGGTGATAGGCCCCAAAACCAACTGACAGTAACTCGCAACAAGCACGCGAGCGGACGATCGCATTGGGATGAACCACAATCCACCAGACCATCAAATCGCATGCAGCCTACTGTCAAACAATTCCTTCGTAGTGACAACCATCATGATGCAATGTTGCATCCGATACCACCAGTAGGGAGTACATCTCATGTAGTTCGGAACCCGGGAGCAAAGAAAAGTCGCTGAAAATGTTGAGAAGGAATAGCTAATACTGTTTAGGATAAGATTTGGCCAATATGAGAATCAATGCAAATAATGTATCAAATTATATCTAATCTAAAAAAACATATTTTTATATATTCATACTTTTAATATATATATATCTGTCTCTTATACACATCTAGATGTGTATAAGAGACAGCAATAATACCATTTAGAAAGAACCTTGTGTTTTAATTGTCTTTATTTAACAACGATTTAGCAACATCAAGGTAAAATATAAATATTTATCGATAAATTAGAGCTTTAAATACAGGTTTAAAATTTTGTTTGTATGTACAATTTTTAGTTCTCAACAAAGTGGATTTAGCACAAGAAGCAGGAACAATAACGCTCAGTCAACATTCCAACTTTTTTCAGTCACTAATAATAATTTAGAGCTAGGGAAATATTTTTTTTCTGATATGTTGTACAACTGATTTTTCTGACACAAAAAGCACTTAACCGCTCATTAACCGCTCCCGAGGTTTCGTCAATTGTACAACATATCAAGAACATTTTTTTTCTCTAGAGCATGGCTTTGAAGTCTACTTTTGTCACAAATAACATATGTCCTTTGCACATATGTATTTGCATAATGCAGGGTCTGTATGGTGTTCCTGAATTTAGCGTCAAACGTTTTACTGGATAAAAAAAGACAATCCAATCGAGTTCAAATTTACCAGGAATGATAAGACTGGGTTCATGTTCTATTGAACATAGTTTCTAGTTTATTTTGTTTATTCGATATTTTTTGTAAAATGCATCGTCCCTACCGCATGATCAAGCAGTCTAAACCATTTGTAAATCATTCCAGAATCAACACTCAAAAGCTAAAAGTTCGCTAACATCTTAAGGAAATCGTGAAAGTAGTAATACGGGAAATTACCGTCATTTTATGAATATTCTATTAGGTGAAATAGACATATATTATATTAAACAATTTTACACCAAAAGCCTACTGATACAGTGAATGGGGGTATTAGGCGGGTGGCCATCAGATTGAAAGTACTCAAAAATGTTTTTTTCGTAGGCATCATTTGTTACAAGCTGGCAACAAGGTGACTACTCATCACTTGCTCTTGCCTCACACGGAATGGGGTGTTGCCATGCTGAATTTTGTATTTAAGTGCCAAATTTGACCAAAAAATGGCAAATTTTACACGTTTTTACCAAAAAATAGTATTTTGATGCTAGTCCATCACTGGAAGATTCAATTAAAATATATATTTGGTATGATATGAAAGCTATTAATATTATCTATGAAATGATGTGTATGATGACACATTTGTGTTAATGTTAGGACCACAAATTTACTAAACAACTTATTTTGTATGGCTTTTTTTGCTAAATTTAAAAACACATGTTTTATTTATGAGAAATAATAAGATAAAAAGCTTTTTTATCTGGCACTTTCTCGAAAACTAGTGAATTCTTATCACCAGGCTTTTTGTGAAAAAGTACAACATATCAAGACCTTTTTCCCTCAGAGTCTGGCTTTAAAGTCTAATTCTGTCACGAAAAACATATGTTCTTTGCACAATGTGCGTTTGCATAATGCAGGGTCTGGTGTTCCTAAATGTAGCGTCAAACGTTTTACTGGGTAAAAAAGGCATGATCCAATCGAGCTCAGATTTACCAGGAATGATAAGACTAGGTTCATATTCTATTTAACATAGTTTCTAGTTTATTTTGTTTATTCGATATTTTTTTGTAAAATGCATCGTCTCTACCGCATAATTAAGCAGTCGAAACCATCTGTAATGATTACAGATCACCGATGTGGATATGGTTCTACAAAAAACTAGTTAGGATTTGTCTAGGCCTCGGCTGTGCCGACAACTTCTGGCCACCTCATACGTTATGCCGCAGCAAAAACTGCACCAGTTGCCTGTGAACTTCAGCCAAATGTTACTGCCCGGGCCTAGTAATGTCAGCAGTCACAATGTTGGTGAGCGCTCATTTAGTAAAATAACAAATAATTATCAACACACTGCTAAAATTAGGTCCTGGCCTTTGAGCGTAATACCTTTTTTGGTAAAATCGTCGCAACACAGGTTTTCCAATGCGAGTGGTCCACCTGAATTCCATCGAACCCCGTAATCTAACCGAATCTTTGTTCATTTGTTGGTACTGTTGCCAATTTCCGGCGATAATCTGTCGAATTTTATTAATATCACTATTGTTTTTGTCTATGTTCTTCTTCATGTTGTCGTTGTACTTGTCGTCGTCGTCTTTTTCGTTGTCATCGTCGTCTTTGTCGTTGTCATTGTCATTTTCACAACTAAGGTTTGGAAAGTCCAATTGGTTTCAAACTGGTAAAAAAAAAACTGGCAAAATGGTAACAAGACAGAGCATATGGTTTTTGGTACGTGTGTAAATATGCTAATTGCTCATTTTACATAAGTAATATTTCACTGATCAGCTAATTTAGTGTAGTTATCTCGATAACTGAAGTTTGGTACGTCTGATTGGTTTCAAATTTTGCACAATGCAAGATAGTAATAAGAAGAGCCAATTGTTTTTGCTACGTGTATGAATGCTAATTGTTCATTTGCATAATCAATATTTCACTAATCAGTTAAGTTAGGCTACTGTAGTTACCACGATAACTAAAGTTTCGTAAAGTCTGGTTTCAAACTTTGCACAATGCAAGATGGTAATAAAAGGGAGCTTATTGTTTTTTTGGTACGTGCATGGAGATGCTAATTGCTCGTTTGCATAACTAATATTTCACTAATTAGAAAATTTATGCTACATATACTATATACTATTATAATTCCCAAATAAAATGTTTAATTTACGTAAAATTGGAATATTCGTTCATGTTGTCGCTGTTGTAATAAATTTTTTGTTACCACGATAACTAAAAGTATGGTAATTCTGATCCGTTTCAAACTCCTACTTATACATTTTCAAAGAATAATCACACCGTAGGGAGGCTGTACTTTTACGGCAATATTGCGTGGAGCTTTGCGTTTAAATCTTTCCTGCTGTTTTTACAGTGTAACCTTGTTTGTCGAAACCACCGAAAGCCATTTTTAGAATGCCGGAATCCCGACCCAACAATCTGAAATACCAGTATCCCGACCCAATAATAATAATGACACAATATAACAATCCAGGTCGTCAAGTGGTTAGGATATGTAGTTACTCATCACGGGCCGGGTTCGATCCTCCAATCTTTGGTTTAAATTTGTTATAAAAATGAATCTTTTGCAAGTACACGACGTACGCCTCAAATCGACAGTGATGTTTCATAATTATGCCGAATGCCTAATTATCTATTCCAACTTGAAAGTAATGTAGGGCCTAATAGCTGGCACATTTATGCAAAATGCATGTATCATTGTTGTTCTTGAAAATGTTCCCGTGTCTAACTATTGTTATTATTCGATGGGATGCATATTCTGTAATACGTAGACCTAACTTTCCTGTGAGACAACACTAAAACACTAAGCCTACGTAGATAAAATAAAAGCCTGCGACAATCGTAAATGCAATAAAGACAGTTCGTATTGACAATTATCTTTTTGTACAATTTCAGACATGATGGTACAACGACGATTTAGACTTGATGATGTCATAATCCGCGATATAGAACAACACGAGGTAGACGTTGCTTTAAAGATATTTGAGGAAGAAGTTATAGATTATATGCACTACATTCGGAATACAATACATTTCTTCGTATATTTCTCTCGTCGTACTAAAGATAACTAGTGGTTGTACAATGTAAAATATCACTTTCAGTACATTTCCCATTGTTATATTTCTGTCTTATTTGACTAAGTGCGAAAGTCAATTTAATTTCATCACACTTTACTGCAAATTTTTTTAATGAAATATAATTTGCCTCAATCATATATGCATTTATAGATTAAGCTTATGTGATGATAATAGGAAAATGTGTTATATTC